AGCACCGAGGCTGGCTTCTCCTCACGGCCTAACCGCCACAGCTGCAGGTTCAGACACAAAAGTAAACGCCAGAGGATTAACAGCTTCCTTTACATCGGAAAACAACGGAGAGGCTGGGGCTGAAGAGCCCCCCAGGGAGCTGAGGTAGTGGTGGTCCTTCAGAGCCTGCTCTCCTGCAGTCCAGGCCCTGGCCGCTGCGGGAAGGCGGCAAGCACACCTTTGGGAGAGCCAGGCCCCAAGGACAAGGACGGAGGAGTTAAGGGCTGATGCCATGACTCTTCCCTCACGTTGGGGGGCTGGCTGGCTGGAGAGGTGCTGAGGCTGCCTCTCAAGGGTCCCAGAGGTGTTTTATTCACCAGTTCCCTCTGCAGGGTCAGCCACCGTTACAGCACCGGCTCTGCCTTCTGAACCAGAGGGGGACGCCGACCCATAAAAGTCCTTCTGTGAGTCCCAGCTGGTGCCCGGCCAGGGCACGGCTGCCACAGCGCCGGGGTGTGGGCTCGCGAGAGTCCCCTCTCACGGCCCTGCCCCCGCCTCTCTCCAGACCCTCCTTTCTCACGGTCGCTGCACTTGACGGACACCCCACCCCACAACAGACACTCTTGTGTCTTCTTCCCCTCAGTATTCTCCACAGTGACAGAGAAGATACTTAATCAAAACTTGGGGGGAAAAAGTTTTACGATGCAGTTCTCAGAGGTCCAGACCGTGCTGCTCAGTGAGTGCCGAGACGTGGGGGCCGCGGCGGGCCGAGCCCCACCGCTGGGCCGTCCAGACTCAGGCCCAGGCCCCTCTCTCCCCCGCCGTCTTTCCTCTCTACTTGTTGTGTCTTTTCCCATGGCCTGTTTATGCACTTATTTTGGACTTAACCTTTAAATTTTTCCAGTGTGTCATAAGGGATCTCCCAAGGGGCATGGCTTGCCCCCGGGAAGTCTGTGTTGTGATCTGACAACCTTTTGTTCACGTGCAGGTGATGTGTCCAAGTCCAAGGCCAAGTCCACCGAGCAGCCCTGTGGGAGGATGCGCTGCTGTTTGGGGCCGAGGACGCCTCTGACGAGCGGGCAGCCAGGACTTGCTCTTCAGTCCTACTTACCTGCAAAAGTTCTAGCGCAAGAACTGACCCTGGTCAGGGGGGTCAAGGGCACGAGGTGTTCTGTTTCTAGAATGTCGTGAGGCCCGTGCTTTGCGGACTGTCCCTCTGCCCCAACAGCAACGAGGCTGACAGCAAAAATGGACAGACTTAAAAAGCCCAGATGTGTGACTAAGAGGTGAAGGAACAGCTGGGTGTCCTCTTCAGAGTATCATGTTCTGAAAGGCCACGGAGGAGAACTTCCTCTCCTGTTTGCAGGGACTTACACAATGTAGCTAATAAATTTCAAATACCGATGACCTTGAAAATAAACAGGATGATCGTGTCTAAAAATATTAATGATCTTCTTAGAAATCAAATGTTTCCTGCACGGAGCAGTTTTTCATCTCAATAAAAATAAGGCAGATTTGGGGCTTACAGTCCTACCACCGTATATCCAGTAATTCTTTAAAAAAAAATGGTATTTGATATCACATAAGTGTCTTCAACTTGGAGACAGGGACACAAGGCCGCCGCCCGAAAGCGGGGCAGAGCTAGGTAAGTGATGTGACTCCTTTTCCACGAGTTTCTGTCTCCTCGCTCTTCTTCTCGAAAGGGTGGATAATCGTAAAATACACTCTTTGCTTCAAACGGGCTTCCACCAGCTAGACACACTGTCCCGCTGCAGCGAGGTCTCCTGGTGGGTGCGACCCACGGATGCCAGAACGAGACCCTTCCAGTGCGCAGCTCGGGGTGGTCTGGGAGCCCAAGAAGACAGGAGCATGGGCAGGGGCCTCAGCTCGCTGTCTCCCGGGGGGTCCGAGTCCTCCCCCACAGGATGGGAGCTCGCCATCGCCGGGCCCATGCCCCCCACAGCCGCAGCCAGAGACACCCCCCCAGCTCCAGCATCACGTCATCGTGAAAACAAAACGCTGCAGTCTCCTTGAGATCGTTTTTGCTCTGATTAAAATTTTTATTGAATTCTCTCAAATGTTATCAAGAAATAGTTTTGGCAAAAGGAGCGGGGCAGAAATAGCTAACAAACAAATTCAGCCTGGGAGCTCCCTCTGCTGGTCTGCAGTAGGTTGATACGTTACAAACATATTCCCAGAGACAAATCTAATTTGCTGGAGGAGTGGACAAAAGACAGGTGTGTTGGGCTTTGCCTCAGGACAGAAACACTAGAAGAAAAAAAAAAATCCATGTCTCAAAATAGAGCACAACATTGCTGAGAAAAGCAAAATAATTTAAAAGCTTCTCCAAAGATATATAGTAAGATCTCCAAGACAAGATGGGATTCTCGACTACGGGGGTGCTCCGTGGGGTCTCCACCCTGCTCTCTCTCCAGGCCAGGACAACTCTCCCAGGCCCCTTGGTGAAGGTTAAGTTCTGGTTCCCTTGTCTTTGCCTCCAGGTCTCTTCTCACAGGCTTCTCATCTCCTTAGAGGAGAAAGGTCCCAAGGAGTCACTGGAGTGAGGCCTTTTCAAAATCCCATCACAGAATGAACAGGTCTTTGGAGAGCCAGCACCGAGGCTGCGGGGAAAGGGCGAGGCCCGAGAGTCAGGGGACCTGGCTCTGCTCGGGGCAGAGCCACCCGCCACTCCGGGTGACTCTGCATCTTCTCCGGTCTGTTTCCTCGTCTGTAAAGTGGGTCAGACCAGCTGATCGGTAAAGCCTCTGCCAATTCATTCTATGATGCTCGTATTGGACAAGGACATTTAAATAAGCATGTTTGTTCACGAGTCTGTAAGATACAGAACCCAAGCCCGCACTGGGTAAGACTGGAAACAAGAAGTGGGGTTGAGTGCAAGGGCCCCACTGGGATCAGAGGAGAGTCCCACTGGCTCTCGGACCGGGGTGGCACAGCCCAGGGGCTTCCGGGTTGGGAAAGCCTCCACATCAAGTGGGAGCTCCCAGGGGAAGGCGCCACCCCAGGCAACACGTCCCATGGAGTCCCATGGCCGAGTCCACCTAGTCTGGGCACTGTCTCTCTCTGCCTTTCCCACAACAGCGCGGGCTTCCTAATCTCTAAGGACTCTTCAGCTCCTTTTCTCGCCACATCCCTAGATGCCACTTTTGGTTTCATCCATTATGTGACATAAGTAAGGGCAGACTACCCAGGTGTTATGGCCAAAAGCCGCTATTCCCAGTCCTTCCTGGCCACTATCAAATCTTGCTTTTCTAGGGCAATGGTGAAAGGCTTTGTGCTGACTACCCAGAGCCATGGACATTCAAGAGCCTGTGAACTTGGCTCTTTCCTGGTGTTCAACAATCGCCTGAACTGTCAACTGATCCAGGGCCAGACCATCTAGCAAGGGGAAGAGGAGGGAGAGGAGGAGACCTGGCCCCGGGTGGCAGGGGTAGGGCACGCGGGGCACAAAGAGGGGGAGGCTCTCTGAGTTGTTCCACGTCACCTACGACGGCACCTCCGAGCCCACTCCGAGCAGGTGGGTGGCAGAAGGTATCCACAGGTTGCTCCCTTCTCCCTGTACCTGCCATTTTCCAGGGTGACCAGGCACTGACATGGACAAAAGGCAGAGACAGCAGGGGACGGAGAAGCAAAAAAAACCAAAAAAACAAAACAAAAAAAAAAACAAGAAAAAAAACACAGCTAATCTACTGTAGGAATGGGTAATCAGTCTTGGAGTCAGCCTGTTCCTTTATTTCCTGTACCAAGCACCACCCACATTTCCCTCCACTACTCACACTGCGTGCTGCCTCCCCCCGCCCCCACACAGAGGGAATCACTTGGGACCCGGCACCAAGGCTGTCTCTGTGTAGCCTGCCCGCCCGGTGCCCGGGACGCCAGGCCGTCAAATGCACGCACGAAGCACCGACAGCTCAGCGGAAAGAGAACGGAAGGATGGACAGCCCGTATCCCTGCTGGCCGCACAGCTGTGAGAGCCCTCGCCGGGGCCGCTTGTAGGGTCTTACACAGTGCGGTGAGTTCACATCAAAGTTCTGCGTCAGAAGGAACAGTACTCTGGGAAGCTGTTTATTTCATCCAGCTTTGTAAATGAACATAAAGCAAAACAAACACCCCCCCCCACCTGTCCAAGCCAACATTTTTTTAAAAACCAGGCTTTCTTGTTTTTAAAGGAGTTACACATGTAGTTAGACAAATGAAATCTTTACTCTTTCTATCTGATTTGCTATTGATCACTTTGAATTGCAATATTGATTATTACCACTTGTACCAAAAGCAAAGCTTTTCTCTCCAAGGGGAGAGAAAGGGTTGGTAGGTAAGCAGTAACCGTTGTGAGAAAACGAGTTTTTTTTATTAAATTCAAGCTATTCTTAACTTTAAAACAAACAAACAAACAAACAAACCAAAAAAAGCTGGTCAGAACAAAGGTCTCTACTTTGACCTGTAATTACATTCTAGACACTACATGGGACATCCTTTTCTTCAGGGTTTCCAGAAAATAAAAAAAAGGACCCTTGATCTCTTAGGTAACATGTGCTCCCAACTTTCCCCTTTGGCCACTAGATCTCAGAGAACACGAGAGCAAAATCTCTCCACACGCAGAAACACACAGACACACAACTCCTGCAGCCAGTGCACGCACCCTCTGCAGCCCCTCCACACGACAAGGCACACACGCATCCCCACTCCAGTGACACCCTCTCGCTGGCTGGGAGCTGGGGAGGTCCTCTGGGCCCAGGATCTCGTGTGTGACATGAGGGTGAGGTCATTAAGGAAGAGCGAGGTGCCGTTTGGGGCAAACATCAGGCAGTGGGTGATAACATTGCTGTCAGATGATCCTCAGAAGTCCTGGAGGAGTGTCAGCTTGATTTAGAGGAGATCATTAATCTCCCGAAGGTGGATCTGTTAGCTGGATAGGTGTTAGTTGTATGGTGTGCTCTGGGGAACCAGGTTTGAAAGGACTGGTGGTGGAGTGAGTGAAGTCGTGGCCGATGGGTATAAATTACCTGGGCATGCAGTGAAGCGGGATAGGTGAAAGCAGGAGGAGGTAGAGCAGGCGCTAACTCCGCTGGGTACAGAGGGTACGGGGCCCACACTTCAGGGCTACTGGGGTAAAGTGCAGGCACTGTGAGCTCATCTGCAAGAAAAGAATAAGGGGAGAGTTAGTGGTTATCAAAACAGCTGGTTTCAAATCAGAACAAAACACCCGGTAACCCCGAGCCCTGATCAATGCCAGAAGTCAAATTACTCTCATTCTTTTAATAACCTGTTGGCTTTGGTCCCCAAACCTGAGCCAGTGGATGGGAAACACACAGTGAGAGAGCAGTATGCCTCTGCTGCTTGCCCAGCCTGCTCAGAGTCCGGCCTGGCTCTCCCCAGGACACTGGGACGTCTTTCCAGCTGGAGCCGGGGGCCCGTGGACAGCGGGGATTCCTGTATGAAACACCAAGTGCGGTGGTCCTCACAGGGGAAGAGGAAGAACAAGCAGCAGCGGGAGGCATCTCACAAAAACATGTTGCAGAGCCTTTGGAAGAACAACAGCTTCCTGGCAGGACCCCAACAGACCAGAACTGGAGGACTTTTCTGCTTATCAGTGTAATTAATAGACAAATAAACTGTGATCGTCAAACATTTTACATTTGGTGCTGAGAAGCACAGAACCAGACACTGTGCCTACACAGCATGTAAGTTGTTAAAAATTCAGAGAATGGAAATAAAAGGCCTTGAGTATCCTGATTAAAGTTAAGGCCAAAAAGAGGCCAATAGGAACGTTCACAGGTGCCGTTTACACTGGCTGTAATGTTCTAGAGAAAAGAACGGAGTCACACTGCCAACCGACTGGTCTAAATGTTCCTGGTGCAGCTCCAGCTCCATTCGGGTCGCGCTGCAGCCCGCCAAGTCGAAGGGAAGTGTCTGGGCCTCAGAAAGCACCAGGAAGCAACCCAGGGAAGTAACAGCAAACACGAGGGAGCATCTCGGCAGAGGCTAAAGTAACACCAGTCAACAGTCAGGAATCTGAGTGCTGTGAGGCACCTCCATGCGCGCTTTTATCACCTGTCAAAATCTGAACTCAAGTAGGTCAAGGATGCTCCCCAGCACGCTGAGGGAGTCAGGAGAAGGTGACTCGATAAAGCCATTAGTGACTTTCCAGAAGTCTGCGGCGCGTGCGAGCCAAGGAGAAGAGAGTCACTTCCCTCCTTCCACTGTCTAAGACGCCACCCCGCCCACTGCAGGCCTCCCTCGTGCTCGCTGTCCCCCCCTCCCCCGCCCCTGGGCAGGGTCTGCAGCATGGGAAGGGGGCGAGACACAGAAAACTGCTTTGTTGAGCGTGAAGTGGAGCCTCTGGGGGCCAGGGGCGGGCAAGGGTTTCCAGAGCCAGCCAGCAAGGCAAGGACGATGGAGTTGAGAGCCAGCTGGTGACCACCCCTTCAGAGGGCAGCCTGGGGATCCCGACAACGTGCTGTGATGTGCTGTGCTGGCCGGCCGCGTCCCTGACACCCGCTCCCTGACGCCCGCAGCAAGGCTGTTAGGCCGACTCCTCGGGACTTGGTGCTGGGAGCACACACTGCTTGTGTGTCTCGGCTGGAGAGCCTAGGCCAAAAGCGGGAACGGACAGTTCCTCCTGGGGAAGGGGAACAGAAGAGCAGCATCATAAGCCCCTTGACAATGACCAGGTCTACACCGCCACTGCAGGGCGCAGGGCTGTGTAAGGAAACCCCTCGCAGGGGCTGCGAGAACGCTCACAGACCGCCGTTCCCTGTCGCCGCGAGACCACGAGATTTCCCTCCGGGCAGGTCCTGTGGGATCCCAGCTCATGGAAACCGAGTGCTGCCAGAACCAGTGCCTCGGACCGAAACGGCCGTTCTCAGGAACGACATGCTATTATTGCTGCTGTTACTTCAGCCACCATGCTATTTTAAGACATTCTGAGCCTTTTCAAAAAGTCAAGAGAGTCCCAAGACCCAGCATACGCAGGTTCGCAGCTGCCATGCTCACCCGGCCCCACTGTGACAGCAGAGGCCCAGCCCCCACAAAAGGCTGAGGTCCTCATCCGCTGCCCCGCAGCAACCCGCCCCGTGGGGCCTTTGACCTGATCAATGCAGGCTTCTCCAGAGAAGTTTCAAGACTAAAATGCCCTTTAAGATACCTGATCCTAGAGAGAGAAATAAATAATGGAGATGTGGTGGAGTCTGCATTTCAGGCTCAGCCTAATGAATGTAATTTGTGATTTCCAGACATTTCCACATTTCCACCTTAAAACTTTACTTCCCATTGGGTCTATACCGATGCTCAGAGACAATTCACTGAATACCATTTGCACAAAACCTAGCCCGGCAGAATGGGGGCTTTGCTTCCACATCCCCTAAACCAGGGGTGTCAAACTTGTTTTCATTGGGGGCCACAGCAGCCTCACAGTTGCCTTCAAAGGGCCGAATGTAATTTCAGGACTGTGTAAATGTAACTGCTCCATAACAGTTAAGCGAGAACTCAGCTACCACCGGGTAGAAACGAGGTGCTGGGCCATGCATGGGCCTTGAGTCTGCCACCTGTGCCCTACACCCGAAGCTGCTGAGTAACGAACCATATCGTCAAGTCGTGAAGCAGACCCTGCGAGATTTGGCTGAACCTGCACTTGGTAAATCCTGTGCCCATCTCATCACACCTCCCCTCTCTCCTCTTGTGAAGGAGTCAGAAGGAGTTACTGTAAATGTTAAGAGACACGCAGCACGCCCTGGGTCGGTCAGTCAAAATGAGTCAACGGAGACGTTCTGCACCAGTGAGTTCAGGGAGAGCAGGTGAGTGAGGGTGCTGTCTAATGCATTCTCAAGGACCCGGGGCTTACGCAAGTCTGCACCCCGGGCCAGCTCTGAGACTGGCTACGTAATGTGTAGTAACACTTGCTGTACTGAATGGTACCCAATGGTAAGGTCTAAAACTTAAAGATATACTACTGTTTTCTTTGTTAAAGGAACTTAGGAAATACCCATAGGAGCTAGATCTAAAATTTCCCAATCTCTGCAGCATTTGTGTCTCTCTCTTGCACGTGCACACGAACACACACACACACACACGCAACAGGAGGCTCAAACCAGAGCAAATGGTACAGAGCAGTAATTCCAAAGTTAAAAATAAAAGCAGTAGAACCCTTTCTTTGAGCTAATTTCCCCCAGAAACTCCTTTCCATAAAAGTATATCTATTTCGACTGACTTGGTGGTGGTAGAGCAGACGGAAGGACCCCACCCCATGTGACAGTCCCCAGGGCACACCCGGTCCCAGAGCACGCACTCTGAAAACTGCTTTGACAGCTGCTCTCACCCAGGGACCCGTTTTTAAAGTAAGCTCCTCTTCAAAATCTCTGAGGCCTGACCCCCTGCCTGCAGCCCCAGAAAGCTGCCTGAGCGAGGGCGGGTGGGCCGTGCGCGGCAGCCAGGGCGAGGGAAGGCGCAAAGACCACGAAAGGCCGGGGGTGGCACAAACAGGCTCTCCTGCCTGCCATGGACTTGAGAACTCTGGGGCCAATGGAAACCTCAGGTGAGCTTTCATGGCCTCACAAAACAAAGAAAAATCTGACCCAGGAAATAAATCCAACAGGTAAAATAACAGAAAAAAGGAAAACGAAAAATGTGGAGCTATTTCCTTCCTCTTCCTCGCTCCCAAACCATAACCAGCGCTTCCTACCCGCACTTCAGCACCACAGCACACTTCGCAAGACGGTCGGGGTGACCAGCGGCCTCAGCCTCCCGGGGAGCCTGGAGGAGATGCAGCCTCCCGCTCGACCTGAGCCCCACTGAATCAGGAGTTCTGCCCCCCGAGCGAGTCTGAGGCATACTTTAGTTTAAGAATCACTGCTATAAGTTGCTTATCTTCTTAGTTTTCTTATTGTATCATTAGCTACTTGAGCAAACTGTTCCACATTTTGCTTTCGAAGAGCTTAATATAGTACCTGTTACCTGGACGTGCTGAACGAACGAAACACTGCAGGAGAGAAAATGCCAAGGAGAGCAATAATCCTGGGCTTGTTTTGCGAGAGGGGTCAGCTGGAGGGTCAAAGCGGGCCCAGCCTGACGAGGTCGGGATCACACCTCCAGGAAAGCAGCCCTCAGGGACACCTACATTTCAGTATGAGGCCGAGCACTCCGAAGACCCACACTCTCCTCTGGTCAAAGAGAGCAGAAAGCTGAATGGGCCTTCTGCATCTGTACATTCCTTTAGGTTGCTAACGCGATCCTGAGCGACGTCCAACAGCCAGACTCGGGCTTTCCACAGCACGGGCCGGGCATGTGGGTGCCCACCTGGCGGAGCAGGCACTGCCCGTCCTGCTCGACCTTCAGAGAATGGGGAGGCTGAGGAAGGAAGGGGAAGTTTTCTGCCCTGGGCTCACCGGAACGAAATGGACTTCAGGGAGGGGGTAAGATTCGCCCCCCCCCCCCGCCCCGAGAAAAGAGGCTCTTTCTTACCCACCTCACCCAGGGTGAGCCAGGACCCCCGGGAGCTAAAACAGACCAGCAGGCCAGGGCTTGTTGTCGGGGTCCAGTCCAGACCTTCTGGGAGGCTTGGTCCTTCCTTTCCCATCGCACCAGGTCTCGCTACATCCTTGCTCTTTTCACACCTCTGAGGGTGACCCTGTTGAGGACTCAACACAAACAACTGGAGAGGCCTTTTCTTAGCATAAAAATATGCAACCGGAAGAGCTCGTGGATCCTGATGAACAAAAACTAGAAACTTCCCCAAATTCCACCCCCAATCCCTTTGAAAAGAAAAGAAGTGCAGTCTCCGAGGAAGATTTAAACCCTAGGAACTCTGAAGATCATCTTGCCTGTGGTCTCACTTTACTTTTGTTTTGTTTTTTTTTAAATGTATTTTTTAAAAGATTTTATTTATTTTTAGACAGAAGAGAAAAAAGGTAGAGAAACATCGATGTGCAGAGAAACACTGAATGGCTGCCAACTTGGGACCTGGCCCTCAACCCAGGCATGTGCCCTGACTGGGAACTGAACCGGTGACCCTTTGGTTCGCAAGCCAGCGCTCAATCCACTGAGCCACACCAGCCAGAGCTATACATCTATTTTTAGAGAGAGGGGAAGGAAGGGAGAAAGACAGGGAAAGAAACATCGATGTGAAAGAGAAACATCCAT